TGCGATGATATTTTGATATTGTAAGGTTGACTATTGGTGCTTTCACAAAATATACAGACAATGAGATTTCTGACAAATAATCATCCATAGTGTGGCTATGACTAAGTGTGTAAAGGCAGATAATAGAACAGCTAGAACAATCTGGTAGGTTCAAATCCTATTGCCAGAGAAGATGTTATTACAGTATTACAGGTTGCTACAAAACACCTGTGTTTGGAGCCTAAGAAGCTGATGGAAACACAACAACTGGTTGCTACAAAACACCTATGACTGGAGCCTGAAAAGTGGCTGAAGAAACAACAACAGGTTGCTACATAACAGACAGGTTTGGAGCATAAAAGGCTGATGGAAACACACCAACTGGTTGCTACAAAATACCTATGTCTGGAGCCTGAAAACCAGACGGGTTTGGAGCATAAAAAGCTGATGGAAACACACCAACTGGTTGCTACGAAACACCTATGTCTGGAGCCTGAAAAGCAGCTGAAGAAACAACAACAGGTTCCTACAAAACAGACACATTTGTAGCATAAAAATACGATGGAAACACACCAACTGGTTGCTACAAAACACCTATGTCTGGAGCCTGAAAAGCTGATGGAGAAACAACAACAGGTTGCTACATAACAGACAAGTTTGGAGCATAAAAGGCTGATGGAAACACACCAACTGGTTGCTACAAAACACCTATGTCTGGAGCCTGAAAACCAGACAGGTTTGTAGCATAAAAAGCTGATGGAAACACACCAACTGGTTGCTACAAAACACCTATGTCTGGAGGCTGAAAAGAAGCTGAAAAAAACAACATGTTGTTACAAAACCCCCACATTTGGAGCATAAAAAGCTGCCGGAAAAACCCCAGTGGGTCGCTACAATACACCCACTTTTGGAGCCTAAAAAGCTGATGGAAAAATACTGACAGATTGCAACAAAACACCCACGTTTGGAGCCTCAAAAGCCAGTGGAAACACACCAATAGGTTGCTACAAACATTCATGTTCGGAGCCTGAAAAGCAGCTGAAAAAACAACAAGTTGGTAAAAAACAGACAGGTTTGGAGCATAAAAGGCTGATGGAAACACATCAACTGGTTGCTACAAAACACCTATGCCTGGAGCCTGAAAGCCAGACAGGTTTGGAGCATAAAAAGCTGATGGAAACACACCAACTGGTTGCTACAAAACACCTATGTCTGGAGCCTGAAAAGCAGCTGAAGAAACACCAACAAGTTGCTACTAAACACCCATGTTTGGAGCCTGAAAAGCGGCTGAAAAAACAACAACAGGTTGCTACAAAACACCCACATTTGAAGCCTAAAGAGCAGTTCTAAAAACACCAATGGGTCACTATAAAACACCAACATTCAGAGCCAAAAAGCAGTTGTAAAAACACCAATGGGTCACTACGAAAGATCCACCTTTGGAACCTAAAAACCCACTGGAAGACATAGACGGGTTGCCACAAAACACCCACGTTTGGAGCCAGAAAACTGCTGGAAACACAGTAATGACTCAAATATCCGGTCTGCAGCTTGGCAGGTGTTTTGTTTCGTTGTTCGTTGTTGTGTCACCTGTTGATATGATATGAATAAAACATGCAGATGTAACGTATTCCTGGTTTGCATAAGTATACAACGCCAACATTTTCCTCTAGCCACATAGCTGTAAGTTCTATATATTACATCTTTTTACCATGATGCAGCCTTAAAAGACAATACTTAGGATATTGCGATATCCAGAATGTAAGACGATATCAGGTCTCATATCACGATATCGATATAATATTGATATATTGCCCAGCCCTGCTTTCTCACTTGTGTGGTACATGTGATAATGGTTACGAATGATCAAGAAAGCACATATTTGAAATAGGGGTTTGTTTATTCTTCTACACCTCTGTTAACAAATGCATTGAATTAAGTGCTAACGGTGGAGACCATATGAATGATAAGCAGCTGTGGTCATCAGTGATTCCCTTACAAATAGCATTCTGTGACTGACAGTCGCACAAGTCCCAAAGGAATTTTCTCCTCCTATATAAGCAGTTGGAAAACCTGCCAGACCAGATGCATTGATGCCGGTAATAGGGCAATCTAGCCATAAGCTATAATCAATATGTAGTTGGTACTAAAAATAGATTTTCCAGCACAATCCTGCACAACAAATTCCCTTTGTGCACACATACAGTGGCCCTTTTAACCCAAACACTCATCTTTACTTTCGCCTCTCTCTTCTCTTGTCTTCTCTCCCTTCCCTGTCCGTCCTTTGCATTCACAGCAGCGCACTTAATGAAAAATCATCTTGCCCTTTTCAGTCTATTTATCTTCCGTTAATCACTTAAAACAAGAATAACATGTCCATATCCAGCAAATCCATATCTAATTCCTCTCCCCTCCAACCGTGCCCCCGTGATGAATCGTCTCCCTTGGCCGACGGAGGGACCCATAAACCAATCAGATGGCAGTCGGGGAGGATCCCACTAGATCACAGAGGTTAATAACATTCCACATGATTACCCACAACCCTGAGGATTAAAAGGTTCAGGGGAGCCGGTTCCACATTGCAAATAATAATCACTATTTCACAGCACTGTCCTCCTGGGCTCTCAGGTGAAAGGCCGCCACGCTATCTCATCTCTCCCACACTGAGGAAGGGAAAAAAAGACTCAAGCGGACCCCAACACCTACTGAAACACCTACTGATATTTATCTTTTTTCATAGTAGGGATTGTTTTTAAGACTGAGACCCTCCTCCCCACCTCTGATGCTAAACCATATTAATGAATGCAACCTTTCTTTCCCCTTTTCCATGAGATGTGCTCTCATCATGATGTTGATGGTGCCTGTGGGCGTAGTACTTCATGCTGAGTAGGGTTATGTCACCTTGTCGTTAGCCAGGGGAGCTGTTGTAGGATTGCATATTTATCTCGTTCTCGCAAATAGAGTTAGTTACTCAACCCCCCCACCAACTTCCTTACATGAACCACACTTCCTTTCCTCTTGTCTATTATACCACTAAGGACAATAGCGCCCTAGTAGTAGTGTGCCCTAGTGTGAGCTTTCAATCACAAACCTGCAGTGAAGAAATTGGGGGATGGTATTGGCACTTTAACAAAATTAGGAAGTGTGCTTGTAGGAGGCAAGATTGGCATGAAAGAAAGAACTTTTTAGTCTTGTGTTTAGGGCAAGAAATCACTGTTTTCTCAACTCAAACAAAAGCAAGCCACCAATACGAACGACATTCTTGAGCCGCTTTATTTACACTGGAAAATTGCAGAGTTGGACCAATACCAGTATCAGAAATGCCTCCGATATTGCCTAAAACGGTAGATCGGGTATCAGCAAGTATTCTATGCAATTCTATGCAACGATCGGTAGCTTTTCAGCAAGTGCTCCGGTGTGGTCGTACCCCTTCTAGAAGCTTCGTAATCTAAGCATGGAACAGTAGTGGGGGCGGGGTTAGAGACTTTATAAAACTAACAGAGCGAATAATGAATGTTTTCTGTATTTATTTATTTATGTTGATGTATACCATGATGGATTGAGCTTGTCGACTAATCAGAGGTTGTGTTGCTGACTGTGTAAAGGCGCTGTTCCCAGAGGACATGTGCAATAAAATAAAATGACATTCACCTCCATCCTACTATCAGCAGATCTGTGCTGAAGATAGATTGTTTTTATTTGGCTTCTTGACACAGAAATAGGTTAGTAGTATACAGCTGTTAATTTTTTTGTTCTTACGCAATTGTATTGGCTGATAGGCAAGTTCAGGTATCGGGAAGGAAATAATGGAACTGGAACACCTCTAGAAGATTGCAAAAATAATCTCATGCAACTGGCAAATCTTTACTTTTCCAGCTTAACTTTCCAGCTCAACACCAGATCAAATAACTGGGTGAAATGGATTTATTTTTTTACTTCGCTGTGCACCAAAGGAGTGCAACGCATTCAAAAAGGCAAGATGCAGTCTGTTTGATGTGCCATTTCAACAGATTTCAACTGCAGTCAGAAGGAATCGTACAGGGTGCCATTCATGTATAGCTCGATAGTAACACGAGACGGTCCTCTAACAAGGCCGGCGAGAGTACAGCCACTTTGTGTGTCTCAAACAAATTCATCTTAGATCTGCTTTGTGTTTTGGCACAAGGAAGGTGATGCAACTTTGAGGGGATCTGAATGCTGTGTGCCGACTGTTTCCGTGTGTGTACTGTATGCTCAGGTCTGTGTGCTCACATTTGAGTGTGTGTGTGTGTGTGTGTGTGTGTGTGTGTGTGTTTTGTGAGGATTCATCTGTTTGATCTTCGGTGTTAAAACACAAAGAAGCTCTGTACTGTAGCAGCCCACGGGACACAACAGAAATAGATGGCATTCATACACTCTGTATTCCACCACCACCACCCTTCAAACTCCCAGCCCCCCTGGTCCCCCCTACACAAACACACTACCATCACCACCACTTACTTCCTCACCGACTCACACACACACACCCACTTCCCCTTTTCTCTCTCTCATTATATCATGTGGGCACGAACCAAAATAAAACAGTGAATAACGGTTTGGATTTGAAAAGCTGCAGAGAAAGGCAGGCAGATATTCTCTTTCTAGCGCGTTATGAAATGGATGGATATCTGGCCGCTGCGAGATAAAACAAAACCCAATGCTGTCATTTGAAACAAAATAGGAACAGGCCTGCAGGGATGTGTGTGTGTGTGTTCTCCCTGTGTGTGTGTGTGTGTGTGTGTGTGTGTGTGTATTGTATCTTTGAGGATTTTCTGACTACGCACCATCAGCTTGATATGGGTTGAGCCCAGCTGGGATGAATGACTCCTTACATCACTCCAGATGACTTCATAAGGGCCTCTGACACCAAGCTGGACACCTTTAAGCATCTTATTTTGCTGACACACACCCCGCCCACACTTCTATATGCTGTGCTAAGTTATACACATACAATAATGAGCTGCCCAAAAAAAAAAAAGAAAAAAGAAAAAGAAAACACTCACGGAGGTTTGTGGCCCTGGAAACAAAGTGCTGCGAATGCATCCCTAGGGCCTCCTCCCCACGATACTGCTCACCTGGACACCCGCCCTGCAGCACGCTGGCGACGGCCCTGTCAGACACACAGACAGAGGGAGGAGAGGAGAGGAGAGAGACAGAGAGGCGGTGATGGATGAGGGATGCAGACATGAGGAACTGTGCATAACATGGTTAATTTAATTATTCAGTTGGGCTGCACTGCTGCACAAAATCTTTTCATGAAACTGTGAGGTGCAGCCAACTGGATACAAAAATGTGATTCCCTGATGAATGGGAAAGATTTGTCCTGTTTTTTTTTCTCCTACTGCACAAACACTCCTGTCTATTAGATTACATTATGAAGGTGTATAAAAGCATTTTATCTCCAGTCACACACAATGGAGCGCAGTGCCCATAGTGAAAGAAACCGCCCCCGCCTGATGAGAGGAGAGTAGCTCACGTAATGTTATGCTATATGCCACAATGGCTGGATTGACTGGAGTGGAGGGAGCATATGCAGCATCCACTTTTTCCACAAAGAGTGTCAATGCAGGAGATGACACGGTTGCCAAGGAACCACAGCTCTGTGTGTGACACATTATATGCCCAATGCATTATAAGCTGTAGTGTTATGTTGCTACGTTTCATTGCCATTATACACTTGTGGTGTGCACAGAGGCAGATGATAGAACAAGTTGCGCGCTCCAGACCACTGCGTGCGTAGGCTACTACTGCAAGTGTCTTTGTAAACAAGCGCACTGAGAGGAGCTGAAAGGGAGGGAGGGAAGGAGAGACTTACCTGGACATGTTCTCTCTCTGAGGCCGGTGCGCCTTTTCCAGCCCCAATTTGGTGAAAATCCCCACAAGAGCCATGATGGCCACTACTCCACATATGATGTAAACAATTAAGTTCGTCTTGTCTTTGGTGCTGTCGTGCATCTTGTTCATTTTTTTGTAGGGAGTCTGCCCGGTCTTCATCCACACCGGAGTGTCATAATTTTTACAGGTGCTCTGGTCCAGCCGCGAGAGCTTTTAGGAGCAGCAGAAGCGGAAGCCACAGGTGCCGCAGCAGTACAAATAATTGCCCGTCTTGCAGGTGAACGGCGGGTCCCACTGGCCCATCACGTCGTAGTAACCCCGACATTTGTCCTCCGTGTGCGGGGTCTCCTCGGACACGCTCTCCTCCTCCCTGGAGCCGTTGGAGGTGGCGATCATGACGAATCCCCCGAGCAGTCCTGGCTCCCCGTCAGCCTTGCACACGAGAGCCATAAGTTTGAGCAACAAGAAGCCGAGGAGAAAGTATTTCCCTCTCATCGTGCCGTCTCCTCCGTTCAACTTCACGCGGAAACGAAAAGACTTGGAGAGAGGGGAAAGGGCGCGCGGTCATGATACGCTGAAAAGTCCAGGAACACACATCCAAATAGCAACGCACCGTCACCCGCGCCGATGAGCATCTTTATTACCATATCATCATCCAAAAAAAAAAATAGAACAAAAAAAACGCGCAGAATAAAAATCACGGTGGAAAGACTTAATCTAACTAACTGCTCTGTAGCGCGCGCTCTCTGCTGCGCATCTATACGTCTTTTCAGAGAGGCGTTTGCAGGCTGTAAGATTTGGCGTTTTTCGGGAGCGCATTACATATCCATCGGTGCGCTCTTACGCACAGGAGTAGGCAGAGACACAAGCCGCACCGAGGATGAGAGCGCAGTGAGCGAATAGAAGAGCCGAGGGTGGGAGAGCCTGGTGCGCAAAAGGAGAGGAGGAGGAGGAGGAGGAAAACATGGGGAGGGAGTGAGACTGCCAGGGCTGCGAGGAGAGAGAGAGGAGAGGGAGGAGAGGGAGGAGAGGTAGAGACTTATTGTGAAATATTATGATAAAAGCCCCGAAATACGCACATCACTACTTGGTTTTGCCGTCGAGGAAAAGCGTGGGAGCCTTTTTCCCCTCCTTTTTTCTCCACTTTATTCATTTTCAGTCGTAGGTTGCCATTGTTTCAGAAATCCTGAAATCACAAGCTTAATGTGCTACAATAGGCAGAGGCTGGCACAGCTTCTAAAGCTGGGGATACAGTTTGAAAAAGAGCCCTTCAACAAAGATGTGGCCCCGGGAAGTAATGCCCACCAGATCCCCGGGGGACTTTGCGGGAAACAGAGTAGGGTTCTTAAGCAGTAATGCTCATGAGAGCCCAAAAGACACAAGCTAATACAATAAGTTGATCCTCAAAACAATGGACATAGTGTCTGACACAGATTTTTTTTTTTTATTCCAGATGAAAAAGTGAAGAGCTTCATTCCCAAATGATATCCAACAGGAGAATGTCTCTGCCAAAGCCATAGCCATGGAGCCAACACTTGTATGTGGGGCCCATGTGGGTGCAAAATTGCCCCCATATGGGATTGTCCATGGGTTCCATATTGACCTCATGCCAATTGCCCACATGAGTGGGTTTACTGAAGTGGGCTCCACACTGTTTATGCAAGGGCAACCTGGGTAGCATTGGGCTCATTTGGGTAAACCCACTCGTGGGCAATTGACATAGGGTCCATTTTCAGCTCATTTACTACCCACATGGGCCACACATACAAACGCTGGCTGGGCCCCTGGGCGTCTATTACTCATCATAAGCATGAACAGCTACAGTATACAGTGTTTGGCAGGCCAGCCGTGAAGAATTTTCTGCAGGGTATTAAATCATAAGATCAAATCAGGAGTGAACAAATTTTTTTTTTCTTTGTTTATTCATTAAGTCTTGAGGCTACTTTAATCACATGTTGGTCAAATTGTGTGCAGAACTGAAATAGTGTAAAGAGTATATGGCTGTCAGCTCTCAGTTTTCCAGTTATACCCAAGACTGTTTAGGTACCCCTGTATGCAGAAATATTTAAATACACCATTTTGAAAATTGGCAATGGTCTTTCTTCCCTCACCAAAATTTAGCATAATTTTGGAGCGGTACTTGGTCCCCTTTCCGACAAGATAGCATAACGTGGTTCACACCAATGGATGCCATAGGTCGTCTAGGATAAAATGATACCTGTGTCTTTACTCTAGCTTTCAAACTGAGCCTGATACAGCAGGTTTTCTTACTAGCCTGCCTCACTTCTCACCTTCAGCTCTGCCTGTGATACCTGCTGCTGTTTCACTCTTTTTCCTCTAGATATTTATCCATTGCCTCTCTGCTCCTTTCATTTCTTTTTCTCTCTGTACCCTGGCTTTTCTTTTGGGAACCCCTGATTTTTGGTGAGGCACTTTGACTTAACTGGCTGCAGTCCACCTCACATGTTTACATTAACAGCATTCATGAGTCCTCTGCAATACGCATCTGACCTCCTCTGTCAGATGAACTGTACCATTTCACAATACCTGTGGGGATTGGGAGCATCAGATGGCACATTGAAATGTGTTTTAATGACCTTTTCATGCCTCCCCCGGCCTTAGGCCAGGGTCATTTGTATCCTTTGACCCCCCTGATGGCGGGCCAGGCTGTTATTTGCTCATATCACTGCAATCAACAGGCCTATATTTGGGACGGGCTTCTACATGGGACAGGCCTTTAATTCCTTTCGCACAAAACTGTTTCTCAGCAAAGGCTGGGAGATACAATCAAATTGTTTATTTAAACCAGTATGAATAGCACATGTATAAGAATTAGGCTTCAGATAACATATCAATTATGAATCATTTATTTGATCTAGCTCCAACAGACAGCAAGTCAGAGAGAGAGACACTCAAAAATCTTGGCACCCAGCAAACCAACACATCACCACGTTATTCTGTTAAAACAATACTCACAACTTGGATTAATTTTTATGAAAAAACCCTTTGATTGTTTTTTATTTGAGGACCCTTACGGAATAAAAGAATATGGATAACTTACAGGGCAATTTAGGATGTAGCCAACAACCCGGTTTTATACATCCAAAGAACTTGTAAATATTAACTGCTTCAAATGTGTAGCCACACCAGACTAGTAAAAGGGACTGGGCGTTTAATTGAAGGTTTATGGTAAATGTAACATTTGTTAGAAAATGAATCAAATGTAATAAGTTTAATCACCCTGATGAAGTAATTAAAGTTACATTACTTTTATTTTATTTTTTTTTACATATATTTATGACAGGGTAACTAGTAATCTGCAACCTATAACATTTCAAAAGTAACCTTCCTAACACTGTTGTATTCTACGCGAACATGCAATAAATGAAAGCGACTACTACCTTTATAAATTACACATGTAGCGCAACATAAATGACTGACACTTTATTTAGACTTCCTGGGCTATGTGACAAATATAACAAAAAAGACATTAAACATGAGCCATGTTCTGCTGGGGTACGGCAACACCACTTAAGCAAACCACATGTATTACTAAGGTACACCGTGATACTAGAACTGGCAGTAATAATAATGGTAATGTATTACGTGTATTTATGATTATGATTACATATGCTGATGGTTATTTCGGACAGCGGTGCTTGGTACGACAGCACTCACTTACCAGTATATAGCCATTTACAATTACTGCCTTGGTCTCTACCACTTATCTTTTTCTCAAATAAAATAGGCCTGTGCCATAAGAAAAACACTACATATGGTAGCTGGCCCTATACTCTGTATATATTTAGAGGATATCTCACTAAAGTGCGGTTGTTTTTTGTCAAGCAGGTGCTGTGAGAGAAAAAAACCCTCTTAAACTGCCTGAGTTGAGCTGAAGAGCATAAAAAAATGAAAGATAATTACCCACCTGCAAAACATTCTTAGCCCAGACTGTATGAACCTGTAACACAAGTGGTTTGTGTTGACTAATTTTGTGCTTAAAAGCAGACCTTGAAAAGACCTTCAGCGTTATTTGAACTATCTGGATGCAGTGAATGCGAGCGAAAGCAACATTGAGCACTCATTCAAATATTAAAGCAGCAACCAGATAAACAGTTTCCTCAGGTAAAAGAGGATCATTGTGTGGGCCCTGCTGAATTTTGAACCACCTCTGTCCGTGGTGCTGAAAGGCTCCGGGCTCTGTCCAAGGTCCTTCTCTCTTTGCGCACAAGGGACTGTGGGCGATCACAGGGCTTTTACAAACAAAATGATTTGATTGGATTCATGTATTTACACAATAACACAAAACAGCTGAACTAAAACAAGAAAAGAAGAAACAAGTTGTGCAGGTGAGTTTAAAAAAAACCCTTGGAGATTTATACAAACAATCTCACCTCAAGCATTACAAGGTTGTGTAATCAGCAGAAGTAGCTGCAACAAACAAGCAAACATAGCAAACATGAAAGTAACAGAGGGTTTTTATTTTTACAAAACATTATACTTTCACACTATAAAATTACTAGGAAATTAAGTATTTGAAGCTCAAACGTTTTCTTGTAGAGGACCTTCAAATACCCAGTTTTATATGTGCCCTACTACCCTGAATGTTTTATAAATAGCCTTGGATTGAAATATTACTATACATGTTTGTCAAAAATAAGAATAGGCCTAAGGAGTTGTACACATACCATATATTTTGCACCCTCAAATACATTCTTTTCTATGTAGGCAGTAGGCATGCATTAAGCACACTCAAAAGCCAAGCACTTCTTTTTGAGGGTGCAACAGCTGTGCTCTGAGATAAAAAGACCTCAACTTTTGGAACACAACAGCATGCACCGCATGTCATGAAAAATCAACCACAGTGGGCAGATATCTTTCCCTTCTTTCGAAATATTAGTCTTTGGTAAATATGGAGGAGAAGTTGATCATTTTAGTGCAGGGCTACCCAGAGCTTTACCTCTGTCTCACAGGCAATATTTTAATACATATTTAAAAGACAGCACCTAGAAACTTTGGATTTCTGATAAGTAAACTGTTATATGGTGCTGCTCATGGTTACTTAGCAACCTCAGATGCAACTTCCACGCTCTTGAGGGTGGCACTGAATAGACACAAGAGTGACCCAGCGCCCGACCTTGAGTTTTCCAGGTGGTATGTGGTGGCAGTAGCTCAGTCCATAGGGACTTGGGTTGGGAAGCGGAGGGTCGCCTGTTCGAGTCCCTGTCCGGACCAAATATGGAGCATGAACTGGTGGCTAGAGAGGTGTTCACCTCCTGGGCACTGCCGAGGTGCCCTTGACCAAGGCAGCCCCCTCACTCTGACATCTCTCTGTTTGTGCATGTGTGTGTGTCCTTCGGACCCGTGTGTTATTGACAACGGAGTGAAAAATTTAATTTCCCCTCAGGGGGATTAACAAAGTATATAAAACATGTGTACGGGCCCTAATAATAATAATAATAAAAAAAGCCACAGCATTCCATTCCATTCATACTTGTACTTTAATAAATGCACTTAGTTACATTCCACCAGTGTTAACATAAAAACATACATTTAACTATTTTTCCAACTCAAGACATGAATTTTTGATGATTGCATTTGTAAAGAATTCTGTACTCAGTACCAATCTGTAGCATCCCCAGCTCATTAATGGTCTGGCTCTCTAACTGACGGTTCACGAAACTTTATTTTCAATAATGTATCTCCAAAAATACAAAACATAAACACACTGTAAGCAATAGAATGAAACAAAACAACAACAAAATATTACATTTCTTCCTTAGCTAACAAACTTTAGGCACACTGGCCCAACAGTAATGTAGCATTTTCCTAGCACACACATGCTCATTTAAACTCATGAGAAAACTATTAAAATATAATCATAAAACAACACAATATTAAACACAATATGAAATAAAGTGTAGACAAACCTTGTGCCCATATCAGCAACAAAACCTTTCAAAATGAGAGCGCCCACCTTAAAAATTTAACTAACACAATAAAAGCAAAGTATATGACTTTAATAAAGCATGGTGAAAGACATTTACAAATCACTTACAACTACTAAAATTTTCTCCTCACAATTCATAACTAATATGTAAAATTTAAAAAAAGATTTAGGTGTATAAGGTGCCAGAGTGCTTTAAAAAGCATCACAATCGTGCTTGTTCATTTAATTGAAAAAAAAAAAATAAAAAAAATCCTGTGGAAGGGCCCCCCTGGACCCCCTACTGAGGTCTGGGCGAAGAGCCCCCAATGTCTTCACATCCTAGAAACGCCCCTGCTTATCAATACACATATACATACGTATATTTAAAAGCATGTCGCAGGTTAGACTTCATTAAACAGTACACATTATAGGCTAAACCGTTAGAGTGGACACATAAATGCGCTGCTGTCTGAGTATTTGTGAGGACAGTCTGCATTACGCGGCCACACTGGGGGCCGCTGCAGAGACAGCCACACACACACACACACACACACACACACACACACACACACTCACGGACAGGCATACTAGTCGATCACCGATAGTCACCAGAGTCAGCGAGGCGCAAAGACAGCTGGGACGAGCCAACAGTTACACAACAAACCTGCCCGGAGGCTCCCTGACAGGCTCACAAGTCACACACTAGTTTGCTCGGACAACTGTTTAACATTTGGATCTTATGGCTGAGAGTGAGGATATCTTCCTCAGGGCTAAACATCGGACTTTCGGCGGACTGACTGAAGGTAGCTGTCACTAACTGTCATTAGCTTCGTTAGCCTCGCCGGTTAGCCAACTCACATGCTAACCCTGCGGCTAACGCTGTCTGTAACTTGGGTGTTACACAAGTCGGTGTTACTGGTTGTAGGTCAACGGTGTGGCAGAGCAAACGAAGACACTTGACAGCTTTTGTGTGGCTTTCTTTGAATAAGCGGGTCAGTGTTGGCAGCCGTAGCGAGGCTAGCATGCTAGCTTGTGTTTACAAAATAAAGCGCATGAGTAGAGCTCTGTTTAACGATAGCGTTAATGAATCAAATCAGGGCAGGAAAACAATACTCTGTGTTTGTTGCTGTTTAGAGGTGCTGTAGCCTGCTATTAATAGCTGTAGGTAACACTTGGTGGTCATTTATTGTGAATGGGCTAACACTTCAAAGTTTAGAAACCAAATCTTGTTTGGTCCACTTTGAGTCCTGAGGTTCTCCAATGAGGACTTCTCTTTTTACATTTAAGCACATTTCTGCATTTCAGGAAGAGTTGCACAACCTGAATGATTGTCACTGTGGCAAACCTCATTTAAGTAGATTAAATTAATCTAAAATGTTTAATTACTTAAGTGGTTGAGCCCTGCAGTCAGAACATTCAAGGATTCAAACCATTACAGTAATCACACTAACATGCTCACTGATGCTCTGTCTGTTTAGTCTTTCAGCACCAACTGAAGCAGTATAAGAGAACTCGAGGGAAGAATCTGAAATGCTCCGTCTTTTATTATTTGCTGCAAAAGCAAGCCCCCGTGTGCTTTCATCTCAGATGATGATTAATTTTGTTTTGGATCGCACAATCTGCCACCTGAGAAATCTGTGCGATTTATGTTTGAAGTTGTGCTCGACCAGCGCAGCCACACAAGGCTGCTGCCTCTTATCTCCTGTCATGGGAGCTTTGTCGGCTTCTGCGAGTCCTGCTGGTTTTTCTTTTTAATTTCTTTTTTATTTGTGTGTGAAATAGTTCACACATCTGACTCCAGAGAGAGGCATGGTGCTGTAAAGTGCCCTCAGTGTAACAAAAAGTTTGCAGGATTTCTGAGAGCGTGCCGGTAGCTCTGTTCAATCTTTGCAGATTGTGGCACTCACAAAGAAAGTGGCTAATAACTCAGGAGTAGGAGCAACATGCGTGTGGGTGTTCATGCACATTTACATGTTGTATGTGTATTTGTGTGCACAGTTGCGTGCCAGTGTGATTGAAAAACTTTCCTTTGCAAAGAAAATATATGTTAATATGCAAACACTCAAGCTGAGTTTAGAACCTCTTCTCAGCTGCAGGAGTTCAAGTTTTTGATCTGCTTAAAAGACAGATCTGCTCTGCATCCTCCTAAGAAGTAAACCCCGATCGACTGTCATTGGCTTCTGAGATAAAGTAGGAAACATAACTTTATACTGCAGCGGTCATGGCAGCTGTTAAAAATTAAAATTCATCAGCAGTCCTCACTGTGTAGTCATAAGTTAAGATCAAGGCCAGGCTAGTTTGGTCTGAAGGCATTCTGAAGTAATTTGGTTGAAGAGATAATGATGATAATCATAAAAGTCGAATGTGTTTCCCCTCACGGTTTTATAAATGTCAGTTACACAGAGGGGATCATTGTTAAGCTTTTACTCGCCTGATTCCCAGGAGCAAGACACTCTTTGTCACTCTTTCTTTTTCCTATCTTTGTTCAAGTTTCTCTTGAGGACAGAATTATCATAAACTCATTTGGGAGAGAGACACATGGAGAGCATGTTAAACACAGAGGATGCTGAACAGCTAGCAGTTCCCGCTGAGTGTGAGTGAGGGGATTTGCGCAGAATGCAGATGCAGAGACTCTCCACAGTGACAGCAGCTCATAACTACAGGGCTGCTTTTCACATCCTCCGGAAGCTAAATGAGTTGAGCAGAAACTGTTTACACCTGCTCTTTGCATCTGTCTGTTTGTGGGAAACAAGGGGACTCCATTTCCATATCGCTTTGCCCTGGCTTTCTCTCCTGGCCTTCGTGTCGAACTTGTCATTACCATCAGCCAGGCGGTGTCAAGTGTCTGCTTCCGTTCTTTACATGGAATGCCAGGAACAGTCCTTGTTAATGAATATTTGAGTGATTAGAGTGGTTACACAATATCAGGATTATATAAAACACTTGTTCTTTGCCATTCATGCTCCAATGTGTAGCTGTTTAATTATTTAGCGTTGGATACTCATGGAGTGAGCATGCACAGCTTGAACAAAAGGCTGTATGTTTCCCGTCCGGATCTTCAGTTCTCAGCAGTCCTGCATCCAAATCACAGCACTTTCACCTCATCAAGCATTGTGTTGATTCCAAGAATAAATACAAGGCTTTCTGTGTGAAGCTTTCACCGATGGCCTTATACCGCCGAATGACTAATGCTGTAATGACACCTAATCACTAAAGCTTTTATATTTGCTACCTTGTGCAGTGCATCCTTCGACCTCAACACTAGAGAAGAAAATGTTCATTTCCTGCCAGAATGTGAATAACTTGCAGAAAAATCAAAAGGTCAGCTGCTAAGGAAAGCTGTGTCCATTAAATGAGTTACGTTTGAGTGAATGTCCGTAATTATATGCATATTACATTAACACGTAAGGTGACATTTAGCCAGTAGACCCTTTCACAGTGATGTGATGTCATCAAAAATGTGCACGTGCATGTTGGCTACGGAAGTGGCGCTTTGTTCCAGCCATCCAGACCAGCTGGCAAGCTTTAAGCCTTGAGTTAAAACTGCTACCAGCATTAGAATTTCTGGTTGTTGAGTGTTCGGTTGTCAGCATCGATATTCCAACAGCGGTCTCAAGTTCTGCAGAATCACGACAGGATCATGACTGTTTCAGAGCAGAAGGTGTTGAGGTTTAACAAGTAATCATGTTAACCAAGCCCCCAGAAAGAGCACAGGACTTTGAAGCAAATTTTACACAGTGGAATTATAATGTCCAGTAGGGTTGGGCGATAATACGGTAATAAGGTATCCCGCGGTGTCTAAAAATAGCAACAGTATCAGTTTCATTACCGTCACTAAAAAAAATCTGCCGCGCATATAGGCCTATAGGGGCCTGATATAATATTAAATATAATTTATTTAATGCCTAAATAATGAGTGTTTGTCCAGTATCTATGTATGTGTGGTTGAGTTTTCAATTTAATACTATTACAGTTTAAAACTAATAGTAGGCTATAATGTTTCTCTGATAACTGCCCTTAACTGTTGTCGGGAGATGACATTTGATAAAGTTTTTGGATGTGACGTCGTCACGTGACAGCTCGGACGTGAGAAAGAGAAGAAAAGATGGCAAGCCGCGCATCAAGCGAGTTGGTGCACAGGAAAAAAAACAAAGAAAGAAAAACAACTTCTGCAAGCAGCAGCAGTAGCAGGTCCAGTGGCCATCGGAGTGAAGGAGGGAGAAGCGCAACCCGAACCACCGAAAAACAGATGACTCTGATCAGTCTCCTTCAAAGAAGAGCAGATGCGGTGGCAGGTCCGGTCGGCACCATACGGGAGCGAGCAGGAGCAGAGATAACTGCCTGTTGTCGCGAGCCTGTTATTCAGGGAGACAAAGACCTCCTTCTCTGGTGGAAATGTGATGGAGCCAGGAGTTTTCCTCTGATGTCAAGGGCTGCCTGAAAGTACCTGTGCGTTTGTGCCACAAGCTCTCCATCAGAGCGCCTATTCAGCACCGAAGTTGTCAATCCACTACATGCCCTGCTCCAGCTGGAAAAAGTAAACATGCTGGTTTTTCTGGCGAAAAACCTTGAATCGTTTTGAAGCATAGGATGCTGCTATAGTTATCATTATACTTTGTTTTTATGTCATTTTCAATGAGGAGTAGCCTGTTCTGATGGACAGAAAAGTTTGGACTTGGAGAGGGTGAACTTTTCAAACCAAATGTAGGCTCTAAAAATAAACCAACGAACAGTATTTCCCTTTGCGTTCTCAGGATAGGATTATATATGCCCATTTTCAGTCATGCCTTGTTATTTATTGTACAGTTTTTCTTATTTGATGAGACCTAGTACTGGATGCTGTAGAGCAGTGCTTTTAATTTATTTGATTTATGTTGATAGGTTCTAAAAAATAAACCAACGGACTTTACCCGTTGCGGTCTCAGGATACGCTGTATAGCAGACATTATCGTTACTGCCGTTGTTATTTATTGTTACTTTTTTGGAAGTGGACTGTAGCTTTCAAAACCCCCAAGAAATGACTTGTTTCACTGTTGACAATATGGAGGAGCCACATGATTACAACATTTTATCCCTATTCAAGTTACCGTAGGGCTAAACTGGAAGTTAGCCGCTCAGCCAGTTACTCTCTAGTGTGCTTGCTGTATGGGCTCTTTGTTCTGTAGGAAGTAATGGAGGCCCACCTCAAACCCTGCATTCATTCCTCTTTATAAATCCACGGTGCCACTGAGCTATTTTTATAGAAGTGACCTAGACCCCGCCTCCAACACTGTATCGAGTTGTCTTTATACATGCATGGGATTAGCTGGTGACTCAGACGAATCACGGCAGCTGTTAAAAAACACAAACAGACCATGTAGTTGTCCTCGTAAAAACGTTTTTATCAGTTTTAAATACATGCTCACCTGTGGCTATCATCTACGCCAACTTTTTACATAAGTTACTACAGGCAATCACAGACACATTCAGATGTTATTCACCAGTTGACAGGGTCACTTGTTAAACCAAAACACTGGTGGCATATAGGGCTGCATATATAAGCCATATATTAAACTTGTTGACTGGACTAAGGACACCATCCAACAAAGGCAGAGTTCATGTTTGCATAAAAACTATATCATCCAGCTCTGAACTATGGTAGCTAGCAAGCTAACAAGTCAAAAAGCAGGTAGAATTCCCTATTAGGACCTAACATTGGTTGTATGGTTTGTTAATTATCACAAGCCTCAGACATAGCTGTCTTGTGTCCCTGTCTTTGGCTAGGGAGGATTTCTGATTTCAAGACTCGAAACTTCGAGTCTATGACATGTCATTTGACATTCTCTACATGACCACAGATAACGTAATCGTAACCATCCAGTGATGGTTTCTCTTCTCTAGGTTGCTCCACCAAATACACATATATATCTGGCCACCGAATATTGGGCCACTTGCTATTGTCCTCTACCCTCTCACTAATAGCACACAGGTGTAGAAGTCAATTATCATTCGTCAAAGTCAGTTTGTCAAAGTCAGTTGGGTTGCATTCGTAATCTTTGGTGGTTAATGCCCTTGAATAACTTGACAATGATTGCACTTTGCTATACTTCTGTTGCCATTTTGTGTACGTACCCCTATGTATGTCATCGTACAGCCCTTTGTCAACTATAAAAGAATCTATAATTAAAGCTGGATACAGTTGTGATTGTCTCCATATTTGTCATTTTGTGTACTTATTGCTAAGTGCTCAAGTTGTGAAGACTGACAATCAACAACATTTTTAGCAAACTGCATGGAACCCAAAATTTGTGTTGTGTTTTGCACATGTAAAACACTAGATAAATTTTTAACACGCTGAAGTAAATATGTGATGATGCAGCAGCTTTAAATGAAGTTTCATTGCATTGTTGTCTTGGTAGTAATTGGTGTCCTTCTCTGTTCATTCTTGTCTCTTTTTATTTCAGATGCAGAGCGTGAATGGACAGGACCGTTTTGCTTCATCCAGGCTGCGGACCCCCAGCTCGGGCTGATGAAGGCCTGGAGGGATGGCGACTGCGACGGTGGAGGGGATGAATGGGCCGAAGAGGTCGAGCTCACTAAGCAGGCCGTGGAGGCTGTAAACCAGCTCAGACCCAGGCCGAGGTTCATGGTGCTGTGTGGCGACCTGGTTCATGCCATGCCAGGTAGGGATAGAGCAAATTAAGCACATGCACTACACTTGAAAGATAAAGTTTTCAAGAACTACATGAGAAAATTGCTGCTGCCATCTCTCATCAAATGGAGAGGTTGTCATTTCGTTTTTTTGCCCGGTAAAGTCTGAGAATGAACATATTTCTATGTGTGTCCTGCTGTTGCAGTGTGATGAAACGCTGTTTTGAAGTACATTGCTCTTTTTGCTAAACATTGAAATACTTTCAAATTCTCTTAGCTATAAATACATGCTGAGTTCTGAGTGCTATAAAGAAACTACAACAGCACATGCTTACTACTGAAAACAAGCCACAGCAGCTAAGAGAGGTTCCTGTGGGCAAACCAGACACTGGCATCAACCAGAGTAGCTGCCAATTATCTGCCTAATGTTGGCGGACATTATATCAACTCACAGATGCTGGTGGTGCGAGTTTAAACTCCACTCAGCCTTTTTTTAGTGAGACCAAATGACACAGTGCATTATCTCGTGGCATCTGGTACATCACGCATGCTCATGCAAATGCTGCACTTATTTCAAAGTGTTTGAAATGGCTCTCCCCAAATTACAGATAACAGCAAACTATTTAGAAACACAAGCTGTGATTTCACGCACGATACACTGTTTCACCAATCAACTTGTTTTATGCCTCGTTTGTATTCAGCACTCCCAAAAGCTGTGTGTTGACAGATTCAGCGCCCAGAGCTGATATCTTGTTTTTCATCTAGCAGATCAAAGGATGGTTCTGAGCAAAGTTAGAAATGATCAACAGCTACCACCCAAACACTGCTAAATGATGTACTGTTCCATCAGCCATTTATAGAGACACTAGATGACCTTTGAGATTTGAGTTTTCCCACACAGGTCGTGAGGCTGCATCCTGCTTTTATTCACACAATACAGTTTTTTAATATGACTGACATTCATTTTCATCCGTAGTTCTGTTCTTATTGTAAAGTGATCTTATATTAGTTTGGATCTTGGAGAAATTAAACTTATAGTGTAGATCCAGGCAAGAAGATTAAGTCATCTATGCCTCATGATTATTAGCTGGTCTCTGCTGATCCATTAGTGTGTCTGCATTCTTGCAGAGCATGGGTTGTGGCACGCAGAAAGGTAGTAGAGGAGATGGCTTTGCTTTTAGAGTTGGGCCAGTGCGAAAATCTTCAAGATGTGCGTTACTGAACAGCAACAGATTTAAGTGAAATGAAGGGCTTTCTTCGGCTTGCTTAAGGTTGTCTTTAAGGCTGCAACTAACTTTTTTTTTGTTATCATTTAATCTGCCCTATATTTTCTAGATCCACTGATTGTAAAAAAATGCTCTGTGTATTAATTTCCCAGAGCCCAAGGTGACATCTTCACACGGTATCTGACCAGCAGTCCAAAAATCCAAAGCTATTCAGACTATTATAATGTATGACAAATAAAATCAACAAATTCTCAAATTTAAGAAACATGGAATCAACAAATGTTCGGCTTTTTTGCTTAAAAAATGACTAAAACAATTATTCAATGACCAAATAGTCAGTAATTAAATTTCGGTTGATCAAATAATCAATTAATCAACTAACTAGCAACTAGCAATATCACAAGCACCAGGAAGAAACAAGTTCTTGTCGTCTCCATGTGGTATTTATAACCCCTTCTAAACAGCTTGTTCAAGGCTGGGATCATCGCGCTATTATCCCGTATCAGTGTTCTGTATAAAAAGTAGGATTGTGGAATGGATGGACAGAGTTGTCTCGCCTTAAGCCAGCAGTGGAGGTAGTAACGGCGCCGAATCTATGTCTGTGTAAATAGGACAGCCAACAAGACAGGATGGGTGTGACATTTTCACTATGTTTTATGTGTGCAAGGTTTAAAAAGCAGCTAGAAGCAGTTAGCGGCTAACTCGAAGAAAAAGAGCAACCAAATATTTCTGCAAATTGGGAAAACAATGAGGTCCGGGTGCTCTTTGCCTTCAAGCAAAGGATGGTATCAGCTGCCGTAAAACAGGGACAGTAAATAATTGTTATCACCAAGTTCATGCCATTGTTATTGTTAGTAAAGCACTGCTGATGCATATGTTATATGTCACACTAGAGGCAGACGCTGTTGCATTAAACATTGTGCCCATCACACCTCTTTTATCTCCAGGATCTCCGTGTACAAAGGATTTATGTAACTGAGTGCTTTACTTGCTAGTGGCCAGTGCTGCCTTTGCAAGCTGACGTTATTCAGTTTGAGCTGATAAATATATTATTATTTAAACTGAATACATACAGACTTATGTATGTGCCACATCAGGCATTTGTACCGCTATATCAACCTTTTATTATTTTGAGGTCAGACCGATCAGCTGTGTTAAACTCGGCTCTGCTCGCTCCATTTCCACTGTGTGTTTTAGTTTCTGACCTGCCCAGCATGAGATGACTTTCTGATTAGGCAGGAGAGCTGCTCTGAAAGGAGCTATTATGCCAATGTCAAATATATTTGTCAAAACTGCAAAATGTGACAAGAACGTTTCTGACTGAAACCATCAAAATGTCATGCCTTTTTCTGTCATATATGATTCCAAATCAGCATGCAGTGTAATGTGAGTCTTATTGTGCAGATGCGGCTGTCGTTTCTGAGCCTCGGGCAGAATTGTTTTATTTGTGACCCCGGTGCAGCTGGTCGGAGCGGATAGTGATGACCTGTGAAATCGATGCATGCATGCACCTCTGGAGATAGTGGATGGCATTTGACCGTAATATGTAACATTGTGGATGGGTATATTAGATGTGGTGCTTTGCTCTGCTGAATTATGTCCAGATGTGGCTGTCAGGTGGGTGTGAATATATAGAATGTTGCAAACCTTTCCTATATTGCATCCATCGCTGCAGATTCTCAGATATGTTGTTAGCAGAAGGTGAGAAAGCTTCCTGACATTCATCAGTCTTTAAAGAGAATGGCATATGTCCTATATATGTACTGATTAGTGATTCTCAGCTGCCCTCTGAGCCAGTCCTAATCTAATTAATGCACTCTGTGAAGTACATCAGTGTTGGGATGGTTCAGCTACAGAATATTCCTAATTGAGGTAGGTTTGAACGTTGGCCCTCTGTTTTTCCCCACCACAGTCTGTAAACACTGTACTAGGATACCTTTTTGTTCAGTCAATTGTGAATAATCTCTAACAGTAGTGAACATTGGTTTCACTCCATCAATCTTACGTTGGGAGTTAGACATGTTAGATATCTTGGAACCAGGACAGCATGCCGACGTCTTTTGCCTCAACGGCAGCTGGTTTCAACGATTCACCAGATGCTTTCACTGTCTAGCCAAACTAACAGATTTTCAGAATAGAGCGGGGGTTTGGAAATAGTTGGTTACCTCCAGAAATGGCTGGTCGAGTAAAGGAAATAATCATTTTGCTGCTCATTTCCCACCTTGTTTGGAGCTGACACGCTGTGTTTGACTCACGCTGTGTTCAGTTGTTGCTCCCTTCTGTTTGTCTGCGTCTCTGTTTCAGTTGTGACAGAGATATGATGATTAATGCAAACCTGTAAACATAAGCCAAACAATTTCAGGTATAAAATAAAGCACCTTTTAAAGCAGTTGACAGTACTCATGTGTTTCCCAGACATTGACTGTGTAGCTTGGTGGGCATTAGTGGCAAGTGGATGTCTTTATTGAAATCGTAATGAAATGAGTGACTACAGCATGGTGTGCATGTTTCTCGATGTCCAGTTGCCTGATTTGATAACAGGGTAAGAGGACGGGCTGGCAGGACCCACTGCAGAGTTAATGTTCAGCAAAAAGAGCCGCAAGCCGCCAACCAATGCAAACTACCTTTGCATGACAATTAGGGAGTAGCATGAGGTGCCTGCCTGGCTGCCTTGGCCTCGAGGAATGGAAACAGAGAGACAAAAGGAGTCAGCGGGCAAACCTGTCTCTCTCTATCTTTGCACGTCAGTGTCTCTCAGTGCATCTGTTTGATTTGATCATGATGAAAGAATCTGGCCTTAATCCTGATTTCAAGATTATGTAAGTTGTTTAGGAGAATATTTTGTTATATGTGGTGCAGTATGTCATCTGTAAAATGTCCTTGGCCCCTGTTCATAACATTTGACTCAAGGCAAACTATTCACATGCAACACAGATTTGGCTTGGCTTAGTCATAGAGCAACTCTTGCCTTCCTCTTCTCTTTTTTGGGTCATAACAGCCACCAATTTTAGTTGCACAGCGACAGTCATGAACACTCCTGGAGCTGTCTCCCACTATCATCTAAGAGTCTTGCTGTAGGCGTCCAAGCAGGGTCTGAAATTAGCACCCGCCAAATGTGGGTAAATTGTTGGCAGTGGCGGGTAAAATCGTCAGGCCATCCGCTACTTTGGCAGACAGGGAAAGGCATTTGAAAGTTGCTTGTAAATACTACATAAAAGCAAAGCTATTGGCTGTAGAACCTTATTTGTTTTGATTGACAGTTGAAGTACACTGAATTCTTACCCAAATCCATCAATAAAAAGAAACATACACATACATACACGCTCACTTGTTATTGTAACAACTTCCTCAGGTGTCAGCTCTGAAGGAATAGGTCAGTGCATAGTGAGTGTGTGGTAGATAGAAACACATACAGAGAGAGAGTGGATGTGCTGAGAACAGAAATTAGCAGTTGCCAATTCGTAGTTGCAAAATTCACAGAATCTAGAAAGCCAGCCAAGATGTGGTTCAAATGTGAACCGTACCCAATCCTAGTTACAAGTAGAAGTCCTGCATTCACACTTTTACCCAAGTAAAAGTGCGCAAATGTTAATATTGGATAGGTCCCCAGACTATCTTAGGGCTAACATATAGAGACAGACAACCATTCACGCTCACATTAACACCTACGGACAATTAAGAGTCACCAATTAACCTGCATGTCTTTGGACTGTGGGAGGAAGACAGAGCACCCGGACAAAAACCACACTGACACAGGGAGAACATGGGAACTCCACAGAGAGGGGCTTCCCCACCCCTCTTGCTGT